GCGCACACATTAGTTCGCTCACGCCTCTTATATATACACACAGACGCACTTGTACCGAGGAAACAGCCACGAGAGATTGAAACAGATCCAATTGCCTGCCGAAAATCTTGAGCGGCTCCTTGAGTGCCCTATCTGTTCGGAGACCCTCCGGGATGCCCATGCTTTACCATGTCAGCACTATATGTGCTTGAAGCCCTGCGCCGAGAACATCCTCAAGACTCGGCGACCTATCTGTCCCGTCTGTCGAATACCCTTCACTAGAGTCGATCTCAAGCCGTTTCTCTTCTACAATCAGTTACAGAATATCCTACCAAATGTAAAGAAACCGGAGGGGAAGGGTGAAAAGAAGGTGGAAGTGAAATTAACTTGCGGTAACTGCGCAGAATGTGGAAGGCCAGTTGGAGATAGGGAAAAGGATCTACGAGCCGGAACTCTTTTTAGCGGACTGATCTGTGCCGACTGTCAGGCCACTGAGCGCCTGATTAACTCGGCGGAAAGTTGCTGCTTAGCCTCTGCCAGCCCTAATGAGGACTCCATCATATCCACGCAAAGTAGCGTAGAGAACGACGCCGAATTCTGCCTCGACGTGACCTGTTCCGGCCAACCGAAGTGTAAAAAAACGCACATATGTGTGATGGCAACCTAGTTGGCGGGGGATGCCCAAATTCGTGCCTCGTTCAATTCCCTTCGGGGGGAGGATGTATGCGGTTGTGAATGGCTCCCACTGACTCTTGTAATTTCCTTGTACCTTGCTGCCGGTCTGAAAGGCTGACCATCGTCTTTTTATTTTGTTTTTTTTGTATATGAAATCCTGAGAAGAAATTTCCTGTTTTGTATTTGTCTTTCGTCATGGCTTGCAGTTTTAGGTTAAGTGCAGTGCATTGTAGAACTGCTCGGTTTGCCTAGACTCTAATCTTGCAGTTACATCCGGGAGTAGGCCTTAGTTAGAATCACCCCAAACTTTGTCTCTGTTCTGTGTCTTGTAACTAGTGCCAAAACCCGAGATGTTATAGGAGTTAAGGCTAAGACAGTTAACCCTAACAGCTACAATCTTCCAGGC